CATTATTTTATGACTCTATTACCAAAAGAGAAAAATAATAATAACAAAATGTTAAGTAAGTTTTTCCCCAAATTCATTTGTGTATCCCTAACTTCCTATTTTAAAAGTCACATAAAACCTCCATAAATTCAGTTGATTTCCAAAAAGTTTTCCTTAAACTATAACCACATCAAGGGCTTAACTATCGTGAATTTCCCCCACCAGACCGAAAAAGTCTCGTTTCCTTTATGTGCGACATGCGCTTATCGAGGAAACAATCAATACGCTTTCCGCAGTTTTCCGGGACAAAAATTTCCACCCACAATTGTTCTTCGTTGCACTTGCAGTGCTCTCCAAAAAAAAAAGTGGAGGAGTGCCGGAAAACCCACAACTAGTTGCTCTTTGTAGCTGAAAACTGAAAGCCAGACAAATGTTGCAGCCAGAAAATCGATTTCCAGTGAAGTTGGGTCAGCGGAAAAAAAGGGAGAAAAGCGAGAGCGATTCCCGGGCAAAGGAAGCCAATGAATAACAATTGGGGAGTGGAAAGCCGGGGAAATCGGGGAAAACCCAAGGAGGAAACACCCGCTACAAATACTGGGGCGACGCGTCATTTTGTCGCGCGTTGGCGCCACTTTGTTTTATTTATGAATCCTGGGCAGACAGTCGGGCAGGGTCCATCCTCTTGGCCCCCATGAACCCAATTTTTCCCATTTTCCGACCCCACACACAACTGGTTCTATTTGCTCAACTGATTTGAAGAACTTGAAGATGCTGGATCACAGAGAAAAACCCTTATATGACTAAAAATGGAAAAACTATCTCTAAAATGACAGTGTTGAGCAGAATATTAAAAAGATGTTTTTAGAACATAATTAAATTAACTCACCTTTACAAACCCCTTTAATATTGAACAATTTAAAGTAAATACAAAATCAAAGTGTATAGATTGCAATACCCTTTTATATATATCAAGAAAATCTAAGACTAAAAAATGTAGTTATTATTAATAATAATAATACAAGTTATATTAATTTCTTCAGTGCACAAGTTAGACTTTTATGGCTGCTTCTAGTTTTATTTTTGCATTTTTATTTGATATTCTCCATTTCCGTTTGCTGTGGATTTGGGTCACCCTGTCTCCACCCACGCATTCCATTCCTATTCCTATTCCTCGAAGACATTCACAGTTATGTGCTCTGGTTTTTCCACGGGAAATTGAATTGTTTTCCTTTGACAGAACATTCAGTTCGTCTTCGGAACTTTGCCTTGTAAACAAGTTGTTTCGATGAGGAATAAAGGCGGCAGAACTGGGGACTGTTAGGTGACACAATTTTCTCGATGAAGTATTAATAAGATGGAACTTTTGTTAAGAAGGGCCTGAATTTGTTTTATTTTATTAGTCACATTTGACTTTTATCGGGATAAGAAAAGTTACTCCTCTGATTTACTTGGTATTCATTTTATTGAAACATGTAAATAAGTGGATCATTTGTAGTGACATGATGTTAATGAATTCCTAATAGGGTTCTGTAGGCAAAAAAGGTTTCATTTACATTAAATTTCTACACAAGATTTAAAGCTTATGGCTGATATTAAAGTTTCCGTTTAAATCCTATAAAATATTCTCGTTTCTCAGATGCCTTATTTTAACCCCATTTCACCCCCTTGAAAAACGAGTTCAGCACGTGACAATGGCCAGGAAACTTGACTTCCTCATCCAGTCCCAGCTATTTTATGAACGGGGTCAACTATTTGGCTTTGCTCTAGTTGTCCCCCTTTTTCGTTTCCTATAAAAAGCGGAACTCATGACGAACTAACTAACCCCCATCCAACCCGCCGATTCAGGTGGGCTCCCATTTGGCAGGTGTCTCACTGCTAATTGCCGTCATTTCGTGTGCAAATTGTGCACAAGTAATTGATGCCCCCTTGGGTACTCGCATTTCATTCCCCCTCCTCACGGTCAAGGCATTCGTGTACAGTCATTGCATTTTCAGTTTTTTCCCTACTTTTGTTCATCGATTTTCAATGAGTTTTGAGTTTGACAAGCTATAAGTGTGGAACTGACAGCCGGCGCTTTCCTAAAGCTGGCAAGGTTTTTCCTAAACTTAATCGATCAATTCGGTGGGAATAATTCGCATTGAACAATCTGGACATGCCTTAGTTGTTTGTGTGTTCTAAAGGTTAAGCTCAGGGACAGGAATTTTCTAAAATATTTATAAGGTATAGAAAACAACAGTAATCAAATTTAGAGCGACAAATAAAAGTTTATTTTAAAAAAGTGTAAGCTAGCTGAATAAGTAATTATGTATTTAAATAAATCTTTTTATACACTCTTTTAATAAATATTTCAAATTTTGAATTTCCATTTAACCGATTCAATAGTAATTATTTAAAAACAAGTACTTTCCAAAACGAAGAACTCATTTATGACTTATGTACCTGCAATCATTAAAGAATTCGACCCGATCTTAAAAAATTATTAGTCAATATATTTAATTTTTAAATACTTAATTAATTATTTAATTTATGAATTAAATTTGATTTGACATTTTTAACATTCAGAACGAATATTTTTTGAGTGTAGTATATTCCTCAATTTTTTCGAAGTGAAACTTAAAGGTTACCTGTAACTGCTTTCAAGGAACTTTGCAGTTCTCAGAACTAGGCTCTTAACACATCCCAATTGTCTAACCTTTCTCGCACTCCCCCGCAATTAAATTTTCCTCCAGTCACAACTCAATTTCCTTCGCTTCCTGGCACGCTTCAATTGGTAGGACGCCACATGTGCCAGGATCTCATTCAAATGCTCAGCCAAAGTGTCAAAAAGTGTGTTTGAAAATATGCTCTTTATTTTCCCGTGCCGACAACTCAATTAAGGATAAGATAAAGTCACAAATGGAGGATCCCTTCTGGCGATCTTTCGGATGCAACAATTAGAAATCTCACCGTGAGGGCAGGTAGAAGATGGGATCGCTAAGGGAGGGTTACTGAAAAGTGTGCCCTAAAGGTCCCGCACTTAGTTACGCAACATTTGCGACGATCCCGAGATAAGGATATCCAAAGGGTCCTAAAAAAACGTAGGCGTTGGGCAGGCGTTTGACAATTTTTTATTGTTTGTAAATTTAAATGCGTTTCCTTTGAACACAGCTGTTTCTTTATAGATAACCCCGAACCGTCGACAGTTTGTTAATTATTTCAACCCAAGCCGAGTGCGTTTCCTTAATTTCCCCATGTTTGAATTAAGTTGTTGTCACATTTGTCTGGCGTTCCTCTTTTTTGGCGTTGAAAGTCCTTCAAGTGGCAGCTCATTAATCCTGCGGCTGCTTCTTCTTTCACTGCCACTTGTGGCACGTGTGTGTGAGTGCGTGGGGGTGTCCTTGTACACGAGCTCTTGTGTCCTTTCATATTCTTAATTAGTTGCGCACTCGAAAGCAAATCGTTTAGCCAAGCAATTTGTTAACTGCATGGTTACTCCTCTAATTTCTATCGCTAACCATCCTTAAATACTCATAAGTTAGTAGGCCGAAAACTTTTGCTCTTCCATAAATTGGATTATCGCAAACTTTGAATAATCGACAAGGAATAATATTCACCCTCGCCCTTCTACCTTTTTACCATAACCGATTGGTATGAGTGTTGTTTAGCTAAAATTCAAAACAAATATCCTTACGGAGACTTGAAATTTGTTCGACGGACAACTGAAAAGCTAATAAAAATCAAAACAAACATGTTAAAGCTACTGGTTAAATAATTTTAAAAAAAATGTATTATATTATATCCGAAAAATTGAGTTCAATTGAAAATCTTTGAAATAAAACTTAGAAAGTATTCGTTAAAAACCATACCATACAACTTACTGGAATAATATTTTTTAATTAAAAAGAGAATTGTTCCTTAGTTTAATGAGAATTAAATTACAAAATCCAAATTTTCAAACAAACTTAATATGTTTTCCACATTCTCTAAATTGGAACCCCCAGTCTCAATGTCCCAGGACCAACTTGTCGCAACAAAATTCCAAAAGCTAAGCAAAGTTTTCTAGCCTCTAGCATTTCTAAGCGCTGCAAACTAAAAGACACAACTCCCGGTTTCACTTCCGGTATCCTTCTCTATCCTCCTGTATTTCCCTTTCTACATTTCAAAAAGGAAAGCGCAAAAATTAAATTTAAGCTGATTTTAGATTTACTGGGAAAAAAGCGTGGATCAAAAGTTGGTGGCAGGGATTACCAGGCGGCAAAAGAGAAGGGAAAATCCCATCTGACAGACGTGTCCCGTCTAATTTGTCGCGTGTCCAGCAAAAAAGCAGAGGCATTTTCACGTAGTTTTTCGCAATTCGCTTCTTTTTTCCCACACAAAAGTTAACAATTTTTTTAATTAAAACTTTTTTGCTGGGCCAAGAATGATGACGTCGCGTGGCAACTTCTTTTTCGAGCTTTTCCTTGGCTGAGTCAGCGAATTTTTTTATTGCCCAAATATTGGCCATAATTAAGGCGATAAAAAAATAACTGTACAGAGCGATAATTATTTGGCTGCCTCTCCAACCTTCAGCATAGTACATTCTCATTCCTCCCTACAATTAGATATTCCCATCTCCTTCTGACGTCTTTTAATTTGCATTTTAATTTATGGGCGCCTATAACTTTTATCGAAGTCGTTGTCTTTGCTTTTTCCGCTAAGGCCAAAAGGTCAAACAGCTGTGCCGTCGCACTGTTTGGACGTCATTCCATTTTCTTTCGTCGAAGGGCAATTAGCAGGGAGGTCGAATGGAGGATAAGGAAAAGGTTAAGCCCTAGAGACAAAAACACACACGGTTTTGGAAGAAAAAGTTGGGAAATCTCCAATCTGACGAAGGCAAAGGAGGAATCTTTAAGCTGATAATGATTGCTTGCTCTTTAAACGAAGGTTTTAAATGTTGTGTGACCCCACTTAGACAGCTTATTCTTCTTGATTTCCTTTCTTGAACCCACGCACATCTGTAAAATCCTTAATCATAAATAAACCTTTTGCGATTTAAGGTAGTATCGAACGTTTGATTTTATTTACCATTCTGGTTTAACGATGTGGCCCTGAAAGTAAATCTTATCTTGATCATGAATTGTGTAGGCAAAGGGATGATCGGCTACAAACTCCATGGAATTCCGAAATTCTACAGACTTCTTTATTCGAACAAGTACCTCTGGAATCAAACAATTGGCAGATAGTTATGTAACTAGAGATTATAAAATTCCGTACTTGTTGCAGCAGAGGCCTCGGTTCCATTCTCATCGACCTTTAAAAAGGCTTTTTGCACGACATTATCGATCTCGACACTAGAATCCAAAACTAGGCCACTAAAATCAGCTGAACTTTCGAAAGCCTCTCGGATACCCAACTGAAAGAAGCAATAAAGCAGGAATACTTCTCATTCACCAAGTCACTAACCTGTTGAAGAACCGCCTTTAGTTTTGCACTAAATTCTATTTTGAATTTGGGAAGTTTAACATTTACATCTTTTTTTTGCAGATCCCTAGAGAATCCTATAATTTTCTCTTCCATTGCGCTTAGTCCATCGATTGTGTTTGGCAGAAATATGCGCATCGAAAGATTTGAGTTCCGGTAGGGTAGCTCGATTACCTTAGCATCCAAGTCGTTAAGATAGGCCGAAAACAGGCTTTGCGACATCGTCATCATCTCAACAGTAATGTTTTTTTCAGATGATATATAGAAATCCGCTTCATGAGTTTGGTCAGCACGGAACTGATATTTCCACTGGCCCCTAAAGTATATTACATTCACCACAATCGCGCTAAGATCGGAACTCATGTCGCTGGGTGAAACTATATCTCTGAGCTTGCCACGCGTTGCGATATTTACCCAACTATTGATAATGGAAGCCGCTTTGTTAGGATCGTCTAGACTGATTTTCTGAGCAAAAGCCTTAAAGGAGTTTTTTACAAGCTGATTGAACTCCGGTATAAGGCTGTAATTTTTGTTGATGTATATCCGGTTTCCCAAACGAAGGATGATTGACTTTTCTCGAGCCTTGAAATTTGAAAAACACTTCCAGTAATTGTGGGCTAGTAGCCTTTTATCCTCGGGCAAATTCAGCGTGTTTCGCAATTCTTCGGCCGTTTCTCCCCCTGCTGCCATATACATCATGCTCATAACAATCTCTACAGAAAGGGGCGAAGTTATCAGGTTAACTTTTGCATTCTCCTTGGCTAAAATTCGGTAAAAGTCATCACTGAAGAGACAAGCCACTGAAGAGGCCAACAAAATCAGAACTGTAGGGAAAATACTTAATTTTTTCGCATTAAAATACTACACTGTTGACCGCTTACTCAAGTATTTCATTCCAAATGTGGCTTCAGACTTAACGGATATTAACAGGTCTTGAGAAACTAGACTTCAAGTAATTAAATAAATAACGGTGATTTGACATGGACATTAGCATGGGAATCAATTATATGTATACCCTTTCTGGGGGTATTACCACTTTGGTCAGAAGACGGTATCGTAATGAAAATGTTACATCTACGAATTAAATCAAGTAAAGGATATTTGATACACGCCATCCTTTTTTTCTAAAAGAGTTGTTGAATCAGAAGTGTTTTCTAACCAAAAGTTTATTAGTCTTTTCAGAGAATATTTCCTATACTCACACCAAATTTGTAATCAATAAATAATAAAATTTCGACATGGATTTAAGACTTTACTTTATTATTAATATGTACTAAGAAGCAAGAAATAAACAACGCGACATATGGTGTTTTGGATTTGTATTACAAAGGCAAAAATAAGAAAGGATTGCAAAATTTAAAAATCTTGGAAATTCAGAGAGTAGTTATTCATACTGTGTTTTTTTAATAAAAATGTACTTTGGATGATAAACGTATTTTTTTCTTGCTTGCGATTAAACTTAATCACACCAAAAAAAATAAAAAATTTATTTTTGTTCCATAACCCCAAACTGATCACATATTTCGCAGCTTCAATTTTAACATGATGCCCAATAACTACTCCCGTACCCTCTCATTTCCCCTACCAAACCCGTTCCCTCTGTTGCTTCTAATGAACACATGTCAATTAAAGCCAAAGTCTCGTGTCTCATGTCCGTGGAGTGAAATATGTTCGCTAGTCTCAGTCTTCGACTCAGTCAGAGACTCCTTCTCCAATTTTAACGTCAACTCTAACTCGGACTTGCACTGATAATATTTAATATTGTTGAAAATATATATTATAAAAAATATTATCTTTTAAGAAACATACAATTTATTAAAATAAATACAAAATTAAGTGTTAGTTAAATGTTTACAAAGAAGTTTTAAATTCAACCCTTACATAAAGACTTAAAGTTTTTGGTGGTAAGAAAAAGTTCATATATGTACATTCCATTATGGTTTTTAAGTTAAAGTTTGACTCACAATTCTTAAATATTTAATGATAAAAATGTCACAACTGACAAATTAAAAAGTTTTTAATTTAATTTTTAATTTATTTGAATTATTAGTTATAAGAAACAACCAAAAATAATACATAAACAAAAGATTTAAAAGTTTAAAGGAAAAATTCCGTATATATATATATGATTGTAAGTGAGTAAAGAACAGCATACTTTCAATGATTTTGAACTTCATTTTAGAAAAAAATAAACAATTTTTCTCAGTGCAGATTCAAGACTTGCGTGCTGTGCTGCTGCCTGTGTTACGTTTCTCTCAGTTACGCACATTTCGCTTATAGGGGGAGTCAGAGGGGGTGCTAAGAAGTGGGTGGTTGGACAGGGAGGGCGGAGAAAGGGGGGCAGACAAGCGACAGCTCGGACATGTTTGCCTCAAACCCCTCAAAAAGCGACGAACCAAAATGCAAGTGTCTCGCCTTACAGTCGCCCCCAACTCTTTCATTCGGTTTTTCTCTGAGCCTGATTTATGTCGTCCAGTGTCGCGGGTGTTGCGTGCCGGCACCCACTGGCCCCTTTACCCCTCTTTATTATACTGGAAAAAATATTTCTTATAGATTTCTTATAACTCAGATTCAGTGCCGAATCCAGAATTTAATTGTAAGGGGATATACAAAAATTGTTGAGTAGAAATCAAAAATTTTGAATAAAATACATATTATGTGCATATACTTTTTTAAACGAGTGGGGGGATCTATCCCCCATATCCATCCATCCATCCGGGCATGATATGATTAAACGAGTCAAAAAGGGTAAAAAAAAGATTTGTTATAAAGCTGTACAGTCATACAATTGTATTTCGTATTCAAAAAACGATACTATAGCTCATATAAAACAGTACGCTTACAATCTTAAAACCATATAACAAAATTCTAGCTTATCATATCTCTTCACTTGTAAATTTGTTTTAATAATCAATAAAAATGTTAATATTAATTTATTGTTTTAAAAAACAATAGACCTTCATACTTTCATATCTATTATAGTATCAGGTAAATTTTAAATTCAAATAAGCTAAATCAATAAGCTAATTAAAATCACTAAGTCTTTGTTTTCAGTGTAGTCATCGGAGACTGCAGCTTGAGTTTTTTCTACGCTGTGGTCAGTTGGCTGTCTTCTGGCGATTGGCACTGAAGCAAAGCAGGCGATTTCCGCTTTAATGTAATTTTGACAACGCACACACGGAGTTCCATTGGTCAAGGGGGTGGCACTGGATGATGTTGTCGGGGGGAGGTTGCGATTCAGTATCGTCATCAAGGAAATGTCATGATAAATCTTACTCGGCATTCGCGTGGCCAAAACCGTTACAGTAGCAACTGCGAATTCGATTTCAATTTGGGTTTTCGATTTCATTTTAAATCGTCTTTGATACTCTGTAATTAAGAGATCATGTCATGTGGGTAATTATCAACTGAAAAATGTGAACAAATTATGATATATATAACCAACTTATCTATTTTGGAGTTGGATACGTTAAAAATTAAAATGATTTGTAATTTTCCGAAATATTATAAACTTGTTTGTCCTTTGGAATGATATGCAACTCAAGGGTTATGTATATAAAGTTAGGAAAAAATAGTGTACCCGACAGTCAGCTTGGCCAATTAGTAAGAAAAAGCATTTCTTTTTTTCCGATTTTCCTCTTTCCAGCTCTCTTATCATGCGATTTGTTTTGCATGTTTTGATTTATCTGATTTGCTGGATATTCGATTACCCGATAACTCGATTGCTGCGGCATTTAGCAGTTGTCCAACCGCTTTTCCCCACTATCTCAATCCCCTTGTGACTGCTTCCATTTTCCGTCCCCGATTTAAAATCATATTGCGACGCCCTGAAGTCTGTTTCCTTATCACCCCCTTTTCGAGAGCCATTAAAGTTCTCGGCGGTGACCCGCAGAATCGTAAACCCGGCTTGACTCATTGATGCATTGATGATACATTTAAATTCCCATGTTCTCCTTCCACTAATTTTTCCGATTGCATGTGGCAGAGCGATGGAGAAAATCACCATGAAATCCGTTCTTAATTGGGCCATTTAAATTTAAATTATCCGGCACCTGAAAGTCTGAGAAAAGTAAGACCGAGCCTTTTAAAGAGATAAGAAAAAGGTTGATGGATTGTTTAATTGATTAACTAAAGTCTGCGTAGTGATTGATTGCAGCATTAAACTGAACAATGGGTCCTATTCATGGGGCGTGTTAAAAGGGGCGTATCATGAAGACCTAAGATAACTGATAACTGGAAAAAGTAAATAAAAGCGACTGTGTATATGCGACTCTCACTTAATTTCTATATCGTCAGTAACAATATGAAAATGAGCTGAGTTAGCGGAATCACAGCTCGGTCATTTATCGCCAGAAAAATAAAACTGAAATGCAAAACAAAACAAGTAATAACGATTAACATGAGTTTAAGAACTCAAAGTACTTATTACTTCTCATCCCCTCGTATATTATTTTTTCAAATATTTACTTTACTAAATAATAGCATGTAAATAAAAACATGTAATGCCCGTGGAAACTAAAGTTTACTATTATTTTAAATTTATTTTTCACAATAATGTATTTAAGTTAACAAGATCGCTAACTATATATGCCCCAAGTTTTTTCCAAGTACCGGGTATAATTAAAATAATGAAATTGCAAGAAATATAAGTAAGTTCAGAAAAAAACTTTGCAATAAAACGTGCGAAGTTATAAAAACAAGGGAAAGCAAATGGTCAGAGAGGGAGAGCAAAAAAGAGCGAGGGAGAATGCTCCAGATAGTGCAGAGCTCGGTTCTACAGAGGTCTGTTCTGGGGGCTATGTTCCGATTCTTTGTTGCTCAGTCGGAAAATCGAAGGCGGCGCGACGCGACTTCAAATCGAACCCCAAACGAAACGCGATTTATTCAGCGAACGATTTTTTTTAATTACTAAGATAACAGGAAAAATATTACCATAACTTTATATAATGAGTGATTTAAGCTATGTTTAGCCATAAGGAACCGATAATTGTATTGTAAAAAGGAAACAAAAGTGATAAGAATGTAAATAACTAAACAATAAAGCTATAAGTAAATAGCATCAATAAAAAATATAATATGTTGTGGAGTAAAAGAACAAACAAATAATACAAAAATACTACAGCAACAACATAATAACTATTATTAATAAGTCAACCAGCTGTATATTTACAAAGATGGAGTTGAACAAATAAAACTAAATTTTAACTAATGTAAGTATTATACTTATACTATATGTTAATGATTATAAACAAATTGACGTATAACTATTTTTAGCTTACGAAAATGAGTTCCTATAGGACTTTGGTTGATCATGGCCACCCTGCTCTTGTGGGTGGCAGTGAAATATCGCTGGCTGCAAACTCTGCTACCAGTTCTCCCAAGGCCCTTCACCGGATGATCAAGTACTGGCGCAATAGTTCCGGAAAGATTCCGGGTCTCCGAAAGAGCGAAAGTTTCGCCGAGTATCGTCGCCACTCTTCAAACTCGGCCACAGTTTCGGGCGGTTCTGGGGGCCGATCTAGCACTTCGAGTGCCAGACAATTGCAGTATCAAAGACTGGAGATGGAAAGCTGCGAGAATATAGATCTGCTGATAGAACCACTTAGGTAAGTGGACGCAAACAAATGACTGTACAAGATTAATGAATTTTTGGCCAGATTTCTTATGGATTAAAGTCAATCAACTGTGTCTTCATACAGCTGCGGCAACAAAAATAGCACCAGTGTGTAGGCAATTCTTCTTTGTGCTACAGAATGGTAATTTTTTGCAATATTTTTATTCTGTTTGTAAGGGTAAGTAGGGTTACATATCTATTAAATAAAATAAAAGTGGTTACGCCCACAATGCGGATGGTTTTTAAAATTTCGATACATTTATCAAAAAAGTAGCAAAGTTATGCGGCAACAAAAATAG